TCGCTCCAAATATCAGGTCATGACCTGTATATGTTGGTTTCTCGCTCCAAATATCAGGTCAAGACATGTACATGTTGGTTTCTCATACCACGCTCCAAATATCAGGTCATGTTGGTTCCTCGCTCCAAATATCAGGTCATGACCTGTATATGTTGGTTCCTCGCTCCAAATATCAGGTCAAGAGCCGTATATGTTGGTTTCCCGCTCCAAATATCAGGTCATGACCTGTATATGTTGGTTTCTCGCTCCAAATATCAGGTCAAGAGCCGTATATGTTGGTTCCTCGCTCCAAATATCAGGCCATGACCTGTATATGTTGGTTTCTCGCTCCAAATATCAGGTCAAGAGCCGTATATGTTGGTTTCTCGCTCCAAATATCAGGTCATGACCTGTATATGTTGGTTTCTCGCTCCAAATATCAGGTCAAGACATGTACATGTTGGTTTCTCATACAACGCTCCAAATATCAGGTCATGACCTGTATATGTTGGTTTCTCGCTCCAAATATCAGGTCAAGAGCCGTATATGTTGGTTTCCCGCTCCAAATATCAGATCAAGACCTGTACATGTTGGGTTTCTCATACCACGCTCCAAATATCAGGTCATGACCTGTACATGTTGGTTTCTCGCTCCAAATATCAGGTCACGAGCTGTATATGTTGGTTTCTTGCTCCAAATATCAGGTCATGACCTGTATATGTTGGTTTCGCTCCAAATATCAGGTCATGACCTGTACTTGTTGGTTTCTCATACCACGCTCCAATATCAGGTCATGACCTGTACATGTTGGTTTGTCATACCACATGTTGGTTTGTCATACCACGCTCCAAATATCAGGTCATGACCTTGAGTATACAACTGGTTCTCGTGACTCTAAGGCTGAAAATTTAGTCAATTCGTCAGCAGTACCAATTACAAAGTCATACTGAGGGTGTTTTTTCTCAAAATGTTACGGCTGATAAGAAACAAGCTGTCAGTCATGTTTAAATATTTATTAAAATGTTGATTACTGCCACCAGCAACAACATACCAGCCCTATCGCAGCAGTGTATGCAAGAGCAAACAAATCTGTGACACACCAACAGGTGCATGGGATCAGGAGCAATGTCCATATGTATCTGGTGTTATTGCATACAATAAACCCACCAAGTCTGGCCAACAGTACTTGTCACATAAAACAAAAGGCAAGAAATTTAATTTTGTCAAATTCATGGCTTGAACTGACCTGAAACTCTAGATAAAGTCCCAACTTATCTCAACACGAAACCATGTTATCCCAGAACATTACTTGGTTTCTGATCAGATCAGGTCAGTTTTGATTATTTTCTAGGACATTCTAGGATTATTTTCTTAAGTGTGTTCCATAATCACCTGAAATATTTACTTGATTTGGCAATGACATAGAATAATGTCCTATCAGGAGTTGATACTAAAGGTTAAATGTCCTGATACCAATGACCCATGAAGATTCGGGTTAGAATTGATCTTTAGTAACCCATGCTTGTCGAAAGAGGTGACTAACGGGACCGAGTGGTCGGGGTAGCTGACTTGGTTGACACGTATCATCACATCCCAATTGCGTAAATCGATGCTCATGCTGTTGATCACTAGATTGTCTGGTCCAGACTCGACTATTTACATACTGCCGCCATATAGCTGGAATATTGCTGAGAACAGCGTTAAACAACACGCCAACCTGATACCAGTGCCCTCAAAGTCTGACCTGTGATATAAGACAACCTGTCCAGTTGAACAAACCGATATCCTTGGACAAACAATGGACATACAACACGCCATAGATCCTGCTGCTACAGTTGCAATGACCGCAGTGCTTTGTACAATCCACACTAACAGTGAACTTCACATACTGCAAATCGTGATCTAATGTTGAGAAAGGCACATGATAGACTCAACAGTATTAATCTCTTCTGGAACTTTCTGTAGCATCCTGGATTAGCTGGTTTATTCCGTCTGCTCTAGAAGCTTCAGGATTAGTCCTGACTCCCTATACAGATATACTACCTGGCTCACCACTGGCCTCAACCTTAGCAGAAACAACGCAACAATCGCAACACTGTTTTACAACAAACAGTGAGTGAGTTTAGCTTTATGGTGCACTCAGCAATATTACAGCTATATGACGGCGGTCTGTAAATAATCGTGACAATCCAGTGATCAACAGCATGAGCATCGATCTGCGCAATTGGGAACCGATGACATACGTCAACCAAGTCAGAACACCTGATCCCGTTAGTCGCCCTTACAAGCATGGGTTACTGAAGACACATTCTAACCCAGACCACAGGTCTACAACAAATAAAACAGCAAAAAAATGATGAGGTATCTTCTGATGTTATCTATTCCAGAGATTTATACAAGCATTTATAGCTGAAACACTGAAAAACAGGTTATTGCATTATAGACTGTGTGATGGAAGATCATTGTAGTATAGAAGTCGTTATTGAATTCAAATATCAGGAAAGGCCTCATTTTTAACCTCGTTTAAAATATCAGTAACATGTAACAGCTGATATTATAACACTGAATTCATAGAGATCAAACACTAAGCTTTTATCATAGTAATCTTGCCAATCTTTCAGCATCATTCCACACTGATCTTGATACATGTCGCCAGTTGATAGAGGAGTTAATCTACTGACTTCTCTAGCACCAGTCTGCACATTAAGGGAAATGTCAGTAAAAACTGCAATTGAAAATTTTACAGTTTAGTCATGGCTTTACAGAATTCAGCTTCATTGTACTGCACTGCAGCGCTAAAATACAACGTCGAAATACCTCTGAATTTAAGTTAATAAGAACTTGTTCAAAATCCCAATATGGTATAAAATAGAAAATCATACTGAGTTACAGACTAACCTAACAGCGCAGTACTAGATCTAATAAAGCCAGAATTTTTTCTATTTCTTTGCTTGCAGCTTCTCTGGCAAAATATTTTGGTTTGGTAAGCAGTGGTAAGTGGGGAAAAACACCTCTCATGTTTTCATTTTAAATAATTGAATAAGAACATAATTAAATAAGTAATGAAAGCAGAATGTTTTACTTCAAAGCATCCTATAGTTTGAAGAGTGATTGAATCCTTAAAGAAACTAAAAATCTTGTGAAGGAAAGGTAAGATATCGGAGACGTATCTTTGTACAAATATGCCTGAAAGAGTCTGAAAGAAATTAATAAATTTAGCATCACTTGTGAGTGGTGACATGTTGTGCATGGACTATCAACAAACCAGTGTTCTGAACATAACTTAAAAGAGACCATGAATAAAGTCTAAATTTGTATGTTGTGTGAGAAAATTAAAACTTGTGGCTGTCACAAAGGTTAATGTAAGATATTATCAATAACACACTTTTCATATCGACATTCTTTGACTTTGACAATCAATACCTCCATGTTTTAACTTTAAAATATTTACAAATAAAAATTATCCTTTTTTAAAGTTTGTGTGTCTTAGCATGTCATTGTTAAGGATTTGTATAGCTTACAGATTATAAATGCATGCTATCAAAACCTATTATACTCTGACACAGTTTAGCTGATAACCGAACTGTTCTGTTCCAGTTTTATGAACATCATTACATACAACAGATATATTCCTGTCAACACTAATACTAGGGATGCCATGAGACATCGATACTTCGATACTTTTCTAAGGTGATACAATTATCGTTACATTCAAAACTGCATCAATATTTAGTTTTGAAAATATCGGTTTAAATAGGTGTATGTATCGTTTACATTTTGCAATTGTATCATGTTTTTTGAGTTATAAATGATTATTTTTCATGCTCAAAGATGGGAAATTAGAACTATTTAATCTCTGAGAATAAAAAATGTTGATCTTTTCATGGACAATTATAAAATATGAAATATCAATGTTTAAAATGTAACTAAATTTACGCAATACTGCTGCGAAAATAGGTATCTTGATACGTATCTAATCGTGACATGGGTATCGTGATACGTATGGTTTCATGAAACTTAAGCATCGTGACATCCCTAACTAATACCCTGTAGTGCAAAGCACAAGAAACATATTATTTTTTCAATATAGGTGTACTGGAAAACCTTAAGAGTACATTTAAAGTACAGAATGGAATTTAATGGAGTATCATATCAGTAATCTTGTGTTTCATTTCATATATGCACCACAACATTGCTACTCTTGTGTAAACAGGTCAATAAACAATACAACAATACTTTTTCAGATAAATACGTCTGTAAATGATTCTAAGACTGTACACCATTACTGTGGTGCATATCTGCTATGTTTAACAAATTATTTCCTTCCGTATTGTGCATATCTTTTAGCCGTAACTAAGCTGATACGGCCCTTATCTGGAGCCCTGCCAGTGTTCCATAACCATGACAACCGGCCATCAGACTGTAGAATATATGTGAACCCAATACAATGAAACTCAAAAACAATATAATTATTGACTCTGTTAAAATTTACCAAGAAACATGGGGGCATTGACAGAAAACATCGACAACCTTACACTTACTATAGTATGAATACACAATGACATTTAGAAAGTGGTCAAATGTAACATACATTATATTTGGGATTACACTTTCTCAGTAAAGTACGGATTCTAGTACTTTTGTTGAGCTGAGTCCCATCCGGGATTTGAACCCACACCCTCAGAGTCAGGCACCTAATCAGTACACAAAGTCTGCAGTCTAGACTACCAGTTGTTCGACTTCCATTTTACGCGGAGGCTGAGCGGGTTATGCGGTAGACTTTGTGTGCTGGTGATTAGGTGCCTGAATATGAGGGTGTGGGTTTGAATCCTGGATGGGACTCAAATCAACAAAAGTACTAGAATCCGTACTTTACTGAGAAAGTGTAATCCCAAATATAACATATCTTACCATAGTAAGCAAAAAACTTTCTTTTTCAGACTACTGGCAGTTTTCCAAGACTATTTACACAGGGGTTAACTAACACTGATAACATAGACCAATACAGCACATCTACTTACCGAGTTTTGGAGGAACCAGAGGACAGAGATTCCCAATATCGCCTGTTCCAGAAGATAAGTTGGTCGTCATGACAGTCATGGTGGTAGGTACAGTTGGCAATGTCCAGTTCACTGATACATTCCTTGCCACATTCTTTGACTGTAATGAGTGCAGGTTCTTGAAAAAGTCAGTCACTTCTGGGAAAAATAGTCCAATAGCTGATCGGTTATGACTGCTATAGCTGTCATCTTTGAGGAACTTTGTCACATAGTTGTAGGTGGCAAGATTGATGAGGTACTGAAGTAACACCAGAGTCAAGCAGATCACCAGGAACACCTTTAAGATCCTCACACTGGAACAGTTGTCACAGGGATACATCTTGGTGCGAGGCTGTTGAGGAAGGTCAAAAGTGAGCGAGTGAGTGGGTGAGTATGGTTTTGCACTGCTTTTCACAATATTCCAGCAATATCAGAGCGGGGTACACAAGAAATGGGCTTCACACATTGTATCCATGTGGGGAATCGAACCCGGGTTTTCAGCAGGATGAGCGGATGCTTTAACCATTAGGCTACCCCACCGCCCCAAGGTTAAGTAGCAATCCCAATAAAAATAGCATATCAATGTCCTGAAAGCTGCTGGGTATATTTTGTCAGGTAGAGTATTTATTGGTAAGAATAATAATAATGTATTTATAAAGCACCTTATATCCACCATAGAGATGCTCAGTGGCGCTGTGACAATATTGGGGAAGGGAATAGTTCATATAACTTCTACAGAAAGGCAGCAATGAATAGATGGGTCTTTAGCAGAGATTTAAAAGTTTCTTTCGATGAAGTGTTCCTGATTTCCTTTGGAAGAGAGTTCCACAGGTGAGGGCTGGCAAAGGAGAAGGCTCGGTCAGACAGTTGGTTTGGAGATATGTGTTGTGTGAGGAGAGAGTCAGGGTTAGGATCGGAGACTTTGCTGAGGTACATACACGGAGACGAGATGTTTGAGATAGTTGGGAAAGTTATCGTTGCAGAGGCAGTCATGCGTCAGAATGAGGATTTTGAAGGTAATTCTTGCAGAGATGGGGAGCCAGTGTAGAGACTGTAGTACTGGGATGATATGGTCATGACGATGAGTGTGGATGGATAAGGAAACCAAAAAAATGTTGGAAGAAATATTTGCTTAATAGGTCTTTGGACTTCAGAAATAGATGTGAAAGAAATGAACATATTCATCATAAATTGATGACCTCAAAGGTGCTGAACTGGGTATATTTGGTCAGGTAATTTTTTTATTAGTGAGAATATGGACAGTGGAATCAGATTAAATTTGGAAACACATATTTGTTGAATAGGTCTTTGGTTTGATTATATGACTTTCTATAACCACTACATACACACTGCAAAAGTTGCAGAACATTCTGTAATGCTTCCACAATGTAGGATGAAAGACGATTTATTTATATGGAGAGTGTGAAGCAAATACTATATTTTTTACATTTCACTCTCAACGCATCTGAGCACTTCACAGAAAGTATCAAAGTAAGCCTGGGATATTCACAATGTGCAATGTTCACATATGTTTCTAAAGATGCATTCCACAATTCAACAACAACAACAACCAATAGTGTCTCAAAACAGGAAAAGGAACTTTATCCGGTAGAATGTGCCTGATGGTACAATCCAAGTATTAAAATCAGCTGCACCAACTCAGGCTATTGAGGACCATACACATGGGGAACAGCTGTAATGTCTGTGCAGGCTCCACTGAACATGGACATAGAATCAATCAAGATCTATCATGTCTATTGTCAAGAAAACCAATACTCAATATCCAAGTATTGTAAGAACACTTACAACAGTGGTTTGTCACGTTAATCAATCTCTACTGGCTACCGAACAATTATTGCCATATTTTAGCGGTATTTACAAAATTACTCCGCTGTTCGTTAAATTAAAGAAACAGAATTAATTAAGATACGTAATTAGCTATTCACCGATGTGTCCAGCCCGTTCACTGCCGCTATCATGTTTTTATATAACGCGGCGGAAGGGAATCATGGCAGTACAAATAGACGTTTTCTCACAACTAACTGTAAATTGTAATAGTTATCGCCATTTAGAATTTCTCATGACATTTGTGAAATAATATATATTTATATCATAAAATAACCTCGAATAATTGATTGTGTGACTAGTTGAGTGTGTTTTTTACGGTAGATCGGTAGGGAATGGAACAATTAATGACTTGTGAACTTGAACTTGCTATTATATAGGTCCACCCCGACTATGTTAAATAAATTTTATAGGGTTCATAACTTTATCTTTAATTTTCTCTTATGTTACTTACCGTGAAGAATTTTCTTTTGCTGTCCTTTATTGTTGTCAAATACCGTGAGGAAAAAATACCAGAATTGTAATTGACCGGAAATGTGCACATGTGATACTGATGTATTGGCGATAACTGTTCGCTAGCCAGTATACTCAAGCTTTTGTTTAGAACAAAGAAATATACTCCAACCTGTTCAAAACTTTGATTGTCCTACTCTGTCATATGAAAAATAAGATCTTTATTCAAAGCTATTATGGAACATAAATGTCTGTGGACTGTGATTTGTAGTGTGAATGTTCACTACACATGTTACCAAAGGCATTTATGGTTATGTAGAGGATCACATCATGAAATACATTTTTCATGCTATAATTAAATGTTCACAAAAATTCACTGTTTATGTCCTGGTGAAAATGAATGGTGTTACACATCCTCTCAAAACTTTCAAAACTTTTCCTCCCATTCTCCCACTTCTTTCTTCTGCAGATTAACAGAGGTAAAACAATGTGGTTTCGACCCTATATATTGTAATTAATTTTTGGGCATTTAGTTGTTTTTGTGAGTTCTCTAGTAATTGTTGTGATAGGTTTTGTTAATAAGTTATCATATATTAATTCATAAATATTATTTGTGATGGGGGAGCGGGAGGAACTCTTACCACTCTCAGATTCATGATCAACAGACATACATCTCACATGTATTACATAGTCTCGATATCACTTTAGGTACAACATTACTTCCCTCTGCACTACAAAGCACAATGTACTATGGACAAATAAAAAATCTGGACATGAATTAAAATTGAATAAATGGAACTGAATACTAGCTGTGGGGTAATAGCATTATGAAAAAAACACTAGAATTTGTAGAAACATGCAAACGAACAACTAACAGGATACATTCTGGTGAATATTGGTGATATTGATAAACGTGTTAACGTTGTCTGTCATTAACATTAATGTGAAAATACACAATCACAGTTTCGACATAAGTATAGATATACTACCTGTTATGTCCGTCACGTACTAAGCGTTCGCACTAAAGCTGTCGTCTTCTAAACCAACGATGATGATCACCTGTTCGCAGTGTGCCGAGGTGGCATTTTCAGTTACTGTCGCTAGATATTGTGAGAGTATTCACATATCTGCAATGTTTCTATCACGACATTGAATACTTTTAACATCACAGATGGGAATGACAGTTACCGATTAAAAATATCAAAAGCGAAATATTGATTTAGTCGACGAAAATGAACACAACCACACCTATCAGTATGATGTCGTTTTACCGGAAGCAGTGAACGGGCAGATAACTCTTGTCATTAAATGTGGGCGTGGCCGTAACAGGTCGCTTTAAATAATGTCGCGATACACATGGAGAACCGCGTGTCGTGCTATTAATGGACTGTCTTTAAATTGACAGGGTTTAAATAAATTGCGTGTAAAATTCTATTCGTTGTCTACTGTATAGAAAAAGACATAATCATATACCGGCAAAGTCTTCTCTAAGTGGCATTTTAATGACATATATAAAGCTTGTGAGAACTCCCAGTTGTGAGACACATTAATTAATGGTTCAGTGCACATAGGTGGTGTTTCCACATCCCTACAATGAAAGTGGGATCAGCCCAGCCCAGTACCCACAGTTCATATCCCCTTCAGAAACAGCCGTCTTGCGGCGAGACTGTCCTTTATCTGACAGAACATAAGGTTGAGGGACCTAGACTTGCACAGGCTCTTCCGAAAGTATAGAAATCGATGTTTAATCATATTATTATGCTTATTCACACGTATTGTATCTATTCTCACGTTACATTATTTGGCCAGCATCCAATATATATATATGTGTTTGTTTTTGAATTTTTCTGGTGCGTTATTACTTCAACGTTGTTCCATTGTTGGCTATTCTGAATAAGATGCATGTTTACATGTGACTTATTATTTGTTCTTTTACAAACAGGTAGCCTATAGAGAAAGTTGAAATTTTATGTTTGGGTCGATATTTTCCACACTATATAACCAAGCGACATTTATACTGCACTGATATGCAAGAAACAAACATTCGCACATTTTTTATAAGAACGATAGCAAAAATGTAAACCGAATGCTTTATCCCAACACAAGCACATTATCTACGGAAACAACTGAAATTCACCTCCTCCCTTTCCGCCTCTAACCACCCCACCCTCATTCCAAATTTCTCATACCCTTGAAGGTCCGGGTTAGAATGTACCTTCAGTAACCCATGCTTGTCGTAAGAGACGACTAACGGGATCGGGTGGTCAGGCTCGCTGACTTGGTTGACAGATGTCATCGGTTCCCATATTGCGCAGATCGATGCTCATGCTGTTGATCACTTGATTGTCTGGTCCAGATTCGATTATTTACACACCGTCGCCATATAGCTAGAATATTGATGAATGCGGCGTAAAACTAAACTCACTCACTCACTCCAAATTTCTTATACCCTTCCGCGACGCCCAGGGCCTAGACTTGCTCCAAGGCTGTACTGAATGCTAAGAATAGAATGTATAATCAATCTATCCTTTAAAAAGGCAAGTCCAGATAAGCGGACAGTACAAGAATGCCAGTCTGTTAGAGGGACAATGTGTTTATTTTGTCATATATATTTTAGAAACTATCATTTGAATTAATTACCTGAAGGGCTTTTGCAAGTCTTCTCAGGGTCCTTCCTAAGCCTAGCTACGCACACTTTGAGTCTGAAAATAGCCACACTCACTGCCCCGCCAACACCTCAAAGCCTAATGACACGACATCTGTAAGAGACAAGAGAAGATATTTACTTCGCAAACGTTCCATGTATGCTCGGCGTCATTGAGGAAGGGTCAAGCTAAATCTTCGATTTTGTCTGAAATATTTACTACTAAATGTTTTACAAACTTTCTTAACAGTATGGAAAACACACCAGGCCACTGAAATGTCATTAATGCGTTCTTTAACGTTCGATAAATTCTGTTACAAATGGCACATTTTTTATTCAAATTGTCAATGTTGAAATCCATCCGCTACTTAACGTCCTTGATTTGCACGTGCAAGTGGCTCTATCCATGGAAAGTGGAGGACAATACACGTGCATTGATGCTTTTTCACTGTCGTTCACTGTTCAGGTACCTGTTTTAAATCGCAGTTTAAAATGAGACGTTTTTGACACTTGCTGAAAGGGGTCAGGCTAAAGACCTTTTGGAATCTGGTCAACGCTGGAATCAACGTCGGTGGTCACGTGTGCTCTTCACAGATGAAAACAGATTCAATTTGTCGTTCCATGATGGTATTCCTAGGCTTTATCATCGCAGTGGAGAGCGAATCACGGATGACTGTGGCCATGCATATCCGATTTGGCGGGGGATCGGTCATCGTTTTTGCAGGGATAACTAATACTGGACGTACTCTACTGCACGTGGTCGACGGTAATCTTACCGGACAGTGCTATCGGGACGAGACTCTGGCTCCTATAGCAGTACCATTCATGCAAAATATGCATGGCTTTTATGGTCGACCCTATTTACTGCAAGACGACAACAACGCTTGGCCTCATCGGGCCAGGATTGTCACGGAATTCCTTAGGCACCAGGGTGTAGAGCGGATGAAGTGGCCAGCATGCTCGCCACACCTGCGATGAACTCGGTCGACGTGTGTACATGATCTCCCAGGACTCCGCAGAGCTCTAGTAGAGGAATGGAATGCGATTCCGCATGTTTGTCATTTGCATTTTGGGGGTTGGTTTATACAACTGATGTTTGCTAGTGCTGTATGAACTTTTTGTCTGTATGTCACGATGTGTCACGTTTGTCAACACATTCAACATTATGATGACACTCTTAGTTCTATTATTTCTGAGAAACGTTTCCTGGTACATGTGGTATACATCATTTGACCCTTTATTAATGACACCTAGTATAGAAATAGTGACATTATTCTATGAACTACATACACGATATATACAATAAGTCAGAGTATAATACACATACTAATACAGATGTGTATTGTGGTCTAGGACAATCTAGAGATCTTCTAGATTTGTTTCAAGTTGTATATATACGATAGTAGATTATTTCTATGATATCTGATTTATTATTTATAAACATGAGGCTAAATTTCACATTTTTCTCTGGTGTTAAGGTTTTAAAAGTAATTAGTGGAGAGGAAAGGGAATTAAATAGGGAGTGTCTTACATCTGAATATTTACCATAAGTCATTTTCAAGGACTGATTATTGATCACAGACAGTCCTCCAAACGTATAGGTGGTCTTGTTCTTCCACCCAGTTCAATCTGTTGTCTGTGCTCACTCACTCACTCAGTGTTCTTATGGTTCAAGTTTAATTTCTGGTTTAAATTTCTGTATGTTCTAAGTTTGTTCCTTGAATTTAATGTATTTGGCTTATCTTGAAGAGATGAGTGGAACATGACTGTAAATTTCGAAGACATTTGTTTTTGAATTGTTTGCTACAGATTGTTTTTCTTCATCTCAGATGGAATTAGCAAGGAGGGAACTAAAACGCTTTTCATCAGTGTTGATTCTGGTTTGACGGGTAACATCGGTACTATAGCATGACTATTGACGTAACTGAATGTTTCATTTGGTGCTGGCAGGTCAATTGTCCTGGATGTTTCCAAAACTGACGTGGATCAGACTGAGATAATGATTCTAGTTTACGCAAATGATCTGTTACATAATTGACCCGTGAAGGTCCGGGTTAGAATATTGATCTTCAGTAACCCATGCTTGTCGTAAGAGGCGACTAACGGGATCGTGTGGTCAGGCTTGCTGACTTGGTTTACACATTGTCTGGTCCAGACTCGATTATTTACAGACCGCCGCCATATTGCTGTAATATTGCTGAGTGCGGCGTAAAACTAAACTCACTCACTTACTCACTGTTACATAATTGCGATGTTTTCCTCTTATTGCTTCTTTGTAGCAGTTTTAAGCTGAAAATGCAGTGTGTTTGTTTGTCACTGGAAGTCTTAGCAAAGGTGGCATAACATGCCTCTATATATTCTCTATTCGTCTTACCCTCCTGGTCATACCAGGATTTTCAGGTTGCGTTTTACTACTAGTTGGTTTAGTACAGTTGTTATTTATCAATTCCCGGATGTTTGAAAAATTAGATAGGTGTTTATCACTCCTGTGGTGTCGATGATACAGATGGCATGAAATCTGTAAGGAGGTTGGTACATATGAACTTGACAGTTAAAACCAGCTGCAGTTCACTGTTGCTATTAACACGTCACAATATGATTCTGGACACCCAAAAGTCCAGAAACTCTCCACACTGTGGCAACTTCCTGACAAAGGATTTCACAAAATTAAACATGCAGTTGTCATGAATATATGATAAGGATAAAAAAGACTCTTTTCGAAAACTCAAAATTTAAACTCGCTCGCCGATAAGCCCGCCCATGAGACGGCCCATGGGCGGAATTTTTAGTTTTGCTCAGAATTCATGTTTTTGAGGTTGTAAAAGAATGAATGTATGTTTATAAGGATCATGATACAAAATTCAACTCATTTTGACTTAATTCGAATACTTTAGAGCGTTATTAAAAAATCTCGCTCATGGGCGAAAAACATTTGACCCATGGGCGAGAAAATTTACTTTTCCACAAAATACATGTTTTTTTTTTAATATTTAAGAGGTTGTAAATGAATGCAAGTATGTTTATAAGTATCATGACAAAAAAATAAATCATTTGTACTTATCAGACACACTATTTGGACTTCAGAAACGCAGGAATTATCTTGAACATTATTGTGATAATTATAATATATCTGTTAATATGAAAAACCCCAAAACTATTGTCTTCAAGAGTGGTGGATTACTCTCTAAACATGCAAAGTGGTACTATAAAGATTGTCATTTGCAATATCTTACACACTATAAATATCTAGGTGTTGTCTTTTCAAAAACTCTGTCTTGGTCAAAGCATGTTGATAATGTATTAATACAAGCCAAACGTACCTTATTTACTATTTGGAGCTCCTTGTCACAAATCAAGCCACTGCCTTTGAAACTATTTTTTAATAACATTAATTGGTCCATTACACATAAGTATGTACATACATGTATGTGTGTTACAGAGATGTACATGAGGTATGAAGTAGTTCACCTTACTACAGCATGTCTAAGCTGCGAGGCATGGTAAATAAAACAGGCTGTTTCCAATATCTAAGAGGTTGTAAATGTATCACGACAAAACAAAGAAATCATTTGGACTTAATTTGACTAATTTAGAGCGTTATTTAAAAATCTCGCCCGTGGGCGAAAACCA